CACACACACACACACACACACACACACACACACACACACACACACACGATGCATAATTTACATGTGTATAAATGTAATAAAACAATCTTGTGGGGCAGTGGTAGTGCACACCTTTAATCCCAGCACTTGGGAAGCAGGTAGGCAGACCTCTGTGAGTTCTAGTCTACAGAATTCCAGGACAGCCAGGACTACACAGAGAAACCCTGTCTCAAAAAACAAAACAAAACAAAAATCTAGTTGATTGCTTGTAAATTCTGCCTAACATGAGGCACGGGGGCAAGGACACAATGCAGTCAGATTCTTTGTCACTTTGTAACAGCGTGCTCTTTGCTCCAGTCTCCAGTACCTTGTTCCTCATTTCCATCTGAGACCTCATCAAAATACCTTTTCCTGCCAACTTTGCTACCAGCATTCGGATTACAACCACTTAAGCAATGTCTAAGGTTTAGGTTCTGACTTTGGCTCTTCCGGCCTGCACCAGAATTGCCCTTAGCGCTCCTTCACAGCAAGCTAGGCTTTTTCTGATCTGCACCTCCCAGCTCTTCCAGCCTCTGCCCGTCAGGCAGCCTCTCTCCATCTCCCACTTCTGGAGCTGGGTCCCCATTTCCAAATATCTGTTGGAAGCATTCTACTCTCAATACCAACTTGCCTCTAAATGGATTTGTGCTGTTATTTAGCTTTTGTTTTTTATTTTATTTTATATATATGAATATTTTGCCGGCATGCACATATGTGTACCGTGTGAATGTCTGTTGGGGCCCCTGGATTGGGGTTACAGATGATTATGAGCGACTGTGTGGGTGTTAGGAATCAAATCTGTGTTACCTACAAGAATGAAAAGTGCTCTTAACCACTAAGCCATCTTCCCAGCCCTTTGGACTGTTATTTAAGAATAAATAAATACAATGATAGATGTGGGTGCTGGAGAAATGGCTCGTTAATTAAGAGTATAATACTCTTGCAGAGAATCCACATCCAGTTTCCAATACTGTTGGGTGACACACAACCTCCTGTACTCTGGCTCCAGGAGATCTCACACCCTCTTCTGATCTTCACCATCTCCTATGTGCATGTACACACACACACACACACACACACACACACACAAATAAATCTTTAGAAAAAAAAGTGAGGTGTAGTTTTTGTACACACGTGTAATCCCAACCCTTGGAAGGCTGTACTGGTTAGATTTATGTCAATTTGACACAAACTATAATCATTTGAGAGGATGGAACCTCAGCTGAGAAAATGCCTCCATAAGATCAGGCTGCAGTGGCTGGAGGGACGGCTCAGCTGTTAAAGACTAGGCTCATAACCAAAAATATAAGATCAGGCTGCAGATAAGCCTGTA